TTGGCGTGATGTCCATTATTGCTGAAAAGATGGAGCCACAGCAGAAATCAGAATTTGTCTGCTGGATGCCATGTTGCTGAATGTTACATTAGACATCTCCACTTGCTCACTCATCTGCTTACTTTGCAGTTAGTGGAAGTAAAATTACAATCTAGAAGACATAGCTCTCATTTTGCTTAAAAGAGTGGATATTTTGTTGAATTCCACAGCCATGAATTGAATTGGCTACTCAACTTGCATCAGTTAATAGAATTTTGTCCTCCAAATCTCTGAAGAGTTTTTTTTCTCAACATCTTTGCTGACTTCTCACAAAAAAGGAGCAATTGCTTCAAAGATATTTGAAAGGAAAGCACATACTGTATATTAAGCTACATATAGGATCCAAAAGATCATTAGTTAACTTTGCTTTGGTTCTACTACAGAAAAGTGGAATTAGGGGCCCAGGGGAATACTGTAGGCCTGAGTTTATCAAAGCTCATTCCAGTTAGGAACTCCCTTGGCATTTGAGCTCAAGCAATTAGTATTATGAGCTTTGATGAAACTGGTTCACTGCTGCATTCATCATTATTCAGGGTTACTAATTACAAACTTTTTCAATGGCCTCAGAACTGTAACTCTCTATTACATTTTATATTATTAGAAAAGTTCACAAAATAACTTAAAGCTGTCCTTTTTGAGTTACAAAAACTGGATAACCATAAGATGGCAGATACATTTGCTGCCATCTCATCTTTGTCTGCATTTTTGCAGCTCAGGGGCATAGATAGGCCCTTCCCCTTCCCCTCCCTTTTAAATGAAATAGGTCTTACTCCAGACAGCACCAAAGGCAGGTAGAAAACCAAGGCTTCCTGAATCATAGCTCAACACTTTATCTCCAGACCTACCTATGTTTTCTGAGCAGCTTTTCCTCCATGTAGTTGTCACAAATGTACATCTTGAAAGTGATTTGGCAAAAACCTCTCCCTAGGGAAGTTTGTTTTAGTTTGTTTTAAACCAGCGGTTCTCAACCTGTGGGTCGCAACCCCATTTGGGGTCGAACGACCATTTTACGGGAGTCACCAAACAATGCGATCCGCCATTTTTTCTCAGCTGGCGCCGCCGTGCATGTGCGCCGTGCATGGGGGTGCCGCCGTGCATGCGTGCCGTGCATGGGGGCGCTGCTGCACATGCGTGCCGCGCACGGGGGGTGCCGCGCATGCACGCTGCGCATGCACGGCACGGCCTTATGACCGGGGTCGCCGTATAAAAAGGTTGAGAACCACTGTTTTAAACTAAATATCATTAGATAATAAACACAATCTAAATGCAGAAGGCAACAGAAAATTTCCTTACAGAGCCATGTGCAATCATGAAACATTGTCAAAATCATTAGATTTTTTTAAATGTATGTACAAGTGAGATCATTATATGTGAAGTATGTTTATTTTACATACGTACAATAACTTCCCTTGTATTATTACTGTTGCTGTCAGAACCTATATTCTAAGAGGACCCTTTTCTACCTAATTCTAACTTTACTCTTTCTATACTTCTGGATTCTGCCATGCTCCTGGAGGGGAGGGGGGGAAAGCACTGTGGGTTATTGCTCTGTTTCCCTCTATCGCAACACTGTAACACTTTGCTGTTTCTTCCTCTGTGAACTATCTTTCCCCTTGATGTCAGCTAGAAGGGGGGGGGAGAAAGGAATGCGCCTCTGGCAACTGGTTTATCTCCACTTTTGGAAGGGAAGGTGTGAAGAGCCGACAAAACATTGCTGCAACCCCGAGACAGACAAAACATTGCTGCAACCTGGAGACAGCCTGTCGTTATCTGCTCTTTCCCACAACAGACTTAATACCTGGGGATTGGCCCATTTGAACTGACCGGATGAACTTTGGAGTGGAGTTTGCTTGGGACGCTTTTAACTTATTGATCTGAGCAGGAAACCCTCAGTTCTTGTCTATTATGGCTGCTATCAGCTTCTCCTAATAAAAGTTCCTTTTGGAAGAAACTGCTTCCACGAGTTCTGCTTTCTTGGGATGAGGTTTCTCTTCCTGGCTGGGTTTGTTTTGTTTTACTGCAATTAAGTCAAAGATGAATATTCTTTTTTTCTAGTATTTTATTGTTTTTGTATTTTCTTCTGATAACATTTTGGCGGCAATTTATTGAAAACAGCAGTACACATAGTTCTCAACTTATGACCATAATTGAGACCAAAATTCCATTGCTAAACAATACATTTGTTAAGTAAGTTTTGCTCCATTTTACCACCTTTCTTGCCATAGTTATTAAGTGAGTCACTGCAGTTTTTAATTTAGCAACACAGTTGTTAAATGAATCCATCTTCCCCATTGACTTTGCTTGTCAGAATGTGACAAAAGTTTATCACATGACCCCTGGTCACTGCAACTGTCATAAATACATGCCAGTTGCCATGGATTTTGATCATGTGACCAGGGATGCTGCAATGGTCACAAGTGTGAAAAACAGTTGTCACTTTTTTCAGTGTCATTGTGACATCAAATGGTCCCTACAAATGGTTATAAGTTAAAGACTATTTTATCATATATGTTAGCTCAATTCCATATTCTAAAATCTTATTACACTGAAATGTTTAACAGATTGCATCATGTGCTATACATTCTTAGTTGCTTATATGTTTGAGAAATTCTATTTGACAGATAATATTGTACCTTGCATGTGGGAGTTCATATATGTATATCAATGTCATCAAAATCCATCTATGTTCAACATTTGGAATATAGCTACAATATTAAATATTTTAGTTTGGTCTAGTGGTTAAGTCACCATGCTGGAAACCAACAAACTGTGAGTTCTAGTCCTAGATATGAAAGCCAGCTAGAAGACTTTGGACATCTGATTGGTTCAAAATTGGGAAAGGAGTCCAGCAAGGTTGTATTCTGTCACCCTGCCTATTTAGCTTAAATGCAGAGCACATCATGAGAAAGGCAGGGCTAGATGAATCAAAAGTTGGAATTAAGAAAGCCGGGAGAAATATCAACAACCTAAGATATGCAGATCATACCACTCTAATGGCAAAAGTAAAGACGAACTAAAGAGCCTCTTGATGCGGGTGAAAAAGGAGAATGCAAAAGTGGGCTTGAAACTCAACATTAAGAAAACCAAGATCATGGCATGTGGCCCTCTCAATTCCCGGCAAATAGATGGGAAAGAAATGGAGGTAGTGACAGATTTTATCTTCCTGGGCTCCAAGATCATTGCAGATGGGGACTGCAGCCAAGAAATTAAAAGATGCTTGCTCCTGGGGAGGAAAGCTATGGCAAATCTAGACAGCATACTAAAAAGCAAAGACATCACCCTGCCAACAAAAGTACATATAGTCAAGACCATGGTTTTCCCAGTTGCAATGTATGGCTATGAAAGTTGGACCAGAAGAAAGGCTGAGCGCCAAAAGAATTGAGGCCTTTGAACTATGGTGCTGGAGAAAACTCCTGCGAGTCCCCTGGAATGCAAGGCGATCAAACCGGTCAGTCCTAGAGGAGATCAACCCTGACTACACTTTAGAAGGCCAGATCCTGAAGCTGAAACTCAAATACTTTGGCCACCTAATGAGAAGAAAGGACTCACTGGAGAAGAGCCTAATGCTTAGAAAGATTAAGGGCAATAGAAGAATGAGGTGGCTGGGTGGAGTCACTGAAGCAGTAGGCGTGAGCTTAAATGAACTCCAGAAGATGGTAGAGGACAGGAAGGCCTGGAGGAACATTGTCCATGGGGTCGCGATGGGTCGGGCACGACTTCGCAAGTAACAACAACACAAACATAATAAAAGCAGGATAAAAATATAAAAAAGGAGGTATGGCTAGCATGAACAACTCAGCATCATCTCACATAATCCTCTGATCCTCTTGGCATTTTTGTCAAGGTAATATTTTAGTATGAATCAATAAAGAAGCATTACGCAATATCCTGGACTTTAGATAAAGCACCATAGAAATATTTTCATATTTTTTTTTCTACAGAAGCTTTCTAAAATCCTAGATAATTTATTATGTATAAGGATGGCTGAAAAATTAAAACTTGGTTCTACAAAATAAGATGATAATTGCTATATTTTGGAGTGTCATACCCAATTTTCCAAAAAAATAATCCAGTAGTTTAGTTATGTCAAAATCTTGACTCATTTTAACAAGATTGTTTTTCAAATGTTGAAAAAGTATATACAGAAATACTTGAGGTAATTATCTGTAATACTCAAGAGAATACAGCAGTCGAATGGCAATATTTCTTTTAAAAACACATTGCATTTCCCTCTGAATGAAAGTGATGGGAAGAGCATCATTCACCAAATTCTGATTAAAGATAGATATAGCAGGGAATAGCAAAAGAAAATTTCATTGCAAGCTAGAATCGTTGGTAGGTGCGGCATGATTACTACAGAATTGACTGACCAACACCTACTTTGACTCTTTTTCATAATTTTAGAATATATGATAGAATATGATTCATAATATTATTTCTTCCAGTTCCACTTGTCTGCTTTGATTGGGTTATTATTTTGATAGTATTTTTACAACTATATATTAACAATAGACAAATTCATAGTTTTAGTTCAGATGGATTCCCATAAATTGAACTATTTTTCCCCCAAAATTGGGAAATATCTTAAATCTAAATAAAACCTAACAAAAGCTCCCAATTGGGAAGAAGTACATTTTATAAGCCCTCCCAGGTAGACCAGATCAGAAAATCAACACCACAGGAAAGCTAAAACTTATTTTGCTGAGAGTGACTATAATAATAGAATCTTGCAAATATAAGATTGGTTGTTCTACTTCCTTCCTCTTTTTCTACTTCTGTGAATCAGAGAAATGTTTGGCTGAGTCTTTTCGAAATATTTTTTTGTCTGTTATAGACTGAATATGTTTGTTCTCTTATAACCTGTATATCTCCATCGAGATCATCTTCCTTATTCTACACATTTTCCTAGTCACTTATATTTGGTGCATTTCATTAATATCTGACCATTAATATCCAACCAGATGGTGGGAAGATAGAAGGAAAGATACCGTATTTTTCCAACCAGGAAACGAAGACTCTGATGTCTCTTCTAACAGTTACTCTCAGGTGATTTCATAGTCTAAATAAAATATGCCTAGTTTTTGGCTTGGTTATTTAGGGTTTTCTCCACCGCAACCTCTGAAAAACATAATTCATGTGTATGTAGTTTTAGCAGGTACCTGGAGAAATCTTCATTGCGTTTAGAAGCTTAACTAGAAAAACTATCAAGAGATATGAGGACCGTAGGTTATACTGGGAAGCTAGAAAACAGATCACAAAGCAATGGCAAATCAGGAAAAATGCATCGTTGTGTCCTTTTAGTAGCCTTGAAAGTATGTCTTTTTAAAAAATACATACAAATATGTATATGCCTATATATCTTCATTGCCAACAATGAAATACACGCATGCATAGTTAGTACACTGTATATTTAAAAAGTTTATTTGATTCAGAGGTAAAAGAGAGAAGAAAGTTATATCTCAGATAGGCAGAAGAAATTTCTTACTGCTGTCAAAGTAGTATTTATAAATTACAACTTCCCTCCATTTATTCTGTTATTATATTCAAGAGTGCATAAAGATCGCTTATTTTCAGTCCCACTCCAGTAAAATCAAAATGAAGAAGGGATTTAGTTTTCTGGGCCACAAGAAATATCCCTGAAGAGCAGCAAGCCTCATATTTGGTGGCTGCTAAAATTCTTGGTAATTCAGTTGTGTCAAACACCATCAGTTTGTTCAGATATTTCCTACATTGTATCATTTTACATTTTGAGTATCCATTTGACTAATGTATGTCATGAATATTTTTTCTACAGAAGTAAAATATATTAAACTTGGAGCTTTTGTTATTCCATATTATTTAGCTCTAAAAATCAATTTTTATTTTTATCTGCCTACCTTTAAATAATATATATTTAATGTCTACTTAACCTTCTGTTAACCTGTTCCATTAAAATTCTTCAGACACACTGTAGCGATGCACATAATCTCTAGTTCATTATCTTAATTAGATCTGTCCTATATTGTCCCACTCTTCATTCTCATTAGTTTAAAGGTGATCAGCCTTCAAAAAGCGGGTGGACAGAATTCACTATTGTGGCCATCTAGCATTCACCTTCTTTTGAATCTTTCAGGTGTAATAATGATGCCACTTCCTGGTAGATTTAATTAAAACTTGCTTTCAAATGATGTGAAGAGTCATTTTGGAAAATGAAGACAAAATTAATTCATGGATGTAAAATGCCTACACTATAATGGATCTGAACTGAATTGGGTTCCTTATTAAAATGTAAATGGCACATTAAAAGTGGCATGAAAATTAATGTCCCTGATCCAAGAAGCACTTTTAAAAACCTTCCCTAGACCAAGAATATTTATTCAAGTAGGAATACTAACAATAGTGTCAAAGTATTATTGTTTTAGAATTATATTTTTAAGAATCCTTTCTTCAAGGAACTTACCAGATTCTGCTTTAAACAAATCTGAATGTGCTACCATTTAACTATTGGAACTTTTTAGTTTGTATCTGCAGCACCAACATATCTTGGCTAACTTTTCATACAATGCATATGTTCTTGCCAGATGAGAATAAGACTCTTTAATTTGCTACATCTAAAGCAATGGTTCTCAACCTTTCTAATGCCGTGACCCCATAATACATTTCCCCATGTTGTGGTGATCCCCAACCACTTATACATCACCGGGTGCCAGGGGCGTGGCCAAAAAAAGGGGGGAAAAATGGCGGACAGCCTTGTTTGGCGAACCCTGTTAAATGGTCGTTCGACCCTAAATGGGGTCCCGACCCACAGGTTGAGAACCACTGATCTAAAGTCTTCTTTTCACCCCTGCAATTTCATTTTCATAGCTAATCTCAGACAGGAATATTTGAATACACTATGGAAAGTGGGTGACAAAAGGAACTTTTCTTCCCATCTTGATCACAACCAGAACCCTCACTCAGGATCTCTCCCTCCCTCCCCCTCCCTGCCCCTCCCCTCCCCCTCCCTCATTTTGAAAGAAGCTTCCTTTGGAAGACCTTCTGTGAATGCCAGTGCTAGTTTTGAAGAGCTTTGTTGAATTTTTCAGCTCTAACTTGTATCAGGTAAGTCATTTTGGGAAAACCTGGTTTTGAAGGCTAGCTTATTCAATGTAGAAAATTAACATAATCATTGTAATCAGTGTTCTCAGCCTTAGCAACTAAGATGTGTGGATTCTGGGAATTGAAGTCCACATATCTTAAAGTTGCCAAGGTTCAGAAACATTGTAGATAAAATTCTTTGTCCCAAATTATCTTTCTAAAAATATAGATTTCTCTCTTTCTCCAGATGACTGGGGCTTTCTCTCCATTCCCTCAGTCCCATCATCTGCTGTGTATCACTACCTTGCATCTCAATGTCTCTCTCACTTCACTTGCTCAGCTTACTTCAGCCATTTTCTGCCTCATTTGGACCCCTCTGGCCACTTGCCTGCTTGCACCGCTCACCAAGTTTGTTCTCCTGTACTCATCTGGTGCCCTTCTGGCCACTCACCTCTTTGCTACACTCGCTGGAAAGTTTCTGGGCCCCCTGACAGACCCTGGATATCCAATTGTATTTGCAGAACCCAGTGGGCTTATGAAAGCAGTATTTTCTTGACCAGCTAGATGCATGAGGATCTGATGGTAATCATTTCTCAGATCCAATACATTGAACCACTTTGCTCCCAATAAGCAATGCAGTGTTCTCGATCCATGAGGTAGTGTATTGATCTGGAATGGTCCTCTAGTTGAGAGTGCAGTAACCTGCACATCTTCAGGATCCCATTCTTCTTCTAAACCACCACTATAAGAGAGGTATGGGGACTCTGAGACTCTTGGATAACCCCTGTTCTCTTTAACTTTGCCATCTAAGTCCATCTAAGAGAATCCACTAAGACCTCTCTTTGAATGGCCTATCTTCGTATAATCAGATTTGATGCTGGGCACTCTTAGCACATCCCACACTGAACTCATTTTTGGACAATAAATGCTACCACCTCAAAAATTGATCTCTAGCCTGCTCTACCCATTTTGGAGCAAACAGGGTATCCTTCGTGTAGAACTGTTCTATTGGGATCTCACCCCCAGCCCTTTCCCTGATGATGCAATGGACTTTGACCTAACAACATGCAGTCCTTCAACCTCATCAGGACATTAGTAACATTTTGAACTCCAACCAAATTTCTCTGTTGGGTGTGCTGCAATGCCTTTGTGGAAACTGTTGTGTACTCCGTTCACGTGCGAATGATGAAGACACATGGCAATGCTGAACAAACACTTTATTCATCTTCTACAACAACCAAGCAAAAGCAAAAGGCACATAGGCCTTTTTATATGGCCAGAAACCCGGACAATGTCAACCAATAGGAACAGAGCGTTTTCACACCTTGTGCATGCGCACAAGGCTGGCACCGCTCTGTCTGGTCCCCGGGCAGCTTTTGGAATGCTCGGGACCAATGCAACATCCCGAGCCTGCTTTTGCAGGCTCAGGACACAACAGAAACCACCTCAGGGATTACCTCCACTTCAACATCTCCTCTCATGGGGTCAGTTTCGAAGATACTGTTAGGCCCAGGCTGTTTCTAGTTCAGCCTGAGGGATGCTTGCAGACACCATACCTCCCTTGGTTGCAATGCCCTCCTCACTTGGTCCAGATTCCAGAGTTTCCCCACTCCTTTTGCAGGGGCCTGCTGTGCTCACACCATGCATTGGTACACTACTCACAATGCCTGGTGAATCCTCCTGAATCTGGTTTACTTGCAGGGATAAGAGATGTGAATAGGTCAGTATTCATCAGGAACTCCAGGTTGCTCTTGGGGGCAAGTATATACAATGGCCAAGGTGCCAACAGTTTTGAAATACCCCACAAACAGGGGGCCAAATTAGATTGGGAGGTAACCACTGTAAGGAAGTGTCTTGGTTCCAATGCCCCAAATCTCCAAATTGTCCAGCTTCTGTAGGGGAAGGTGTTTCGGGTGCCTGTCATAGCAGCGCCTGTACAATAAAGTTACTGTGCACCAGTGTCAAGGAGGCCTCATGTAAATGCCCTTGATTTTCACCAGCACTATGGGGGAGGGACCTACTAGTTTGCTGAGGATTCTGCCAGCCAAGGCCAGCACACCTGGTTTAGTAGTTCATGCTTTTTGGCTTGGAGGCTTTTGTGCGATGTCTTATTGCTTGACCTTAGATGCTCTTTTTGGCTTGTGCTACCCATTACAATGTCTTGTTGCTTGACTTTCACCAATCTCTCATGGATAGAGACCTGACACAGAAGAAAATATTCCTATTGATTCTGTGGCAAAAGAAAGCTTTGATGAGGTTTCACTTCTTGGTTTTGGTGCCCACTTCTGCCATCTGCAGTTCTTAAAGTTAAAGCTAGTTGGCATAGATGGGCATCCAGTTGGTTCCTTCACTGGGGCCCTCAGAATTTCCCACCTGGGTCTGACTTCTTGGTCTGCGTGGCCTCATCAAGTATGTCTATAATCGCCTTCATTCCCCCAATTATAGCAAATCACTGGACTCAATAACTTCTTGGCTGGAGTAATGGGAGATGCCTGCCTTTAACCGATCTTGTCATGTCCCCATTTGAGGGTGAGTATCCTTTGCTGACAACGAGGTCTCCACCTCCATCAGTTGGGATATTTGAGTTTCTGTGGCAAACTGGTAAATCAGGCGAGAAGTTGTCTTTGTTTGCCCAAACACTTCCTGCAATATGATGAGGTAAGTCATAAGTCACAGACGATTCCCGACTAAACTTTAAATTTCTAACTGCTTCTGCAGTGGGACTTTTCAGACTCTCTGTGATCCTCTTCTTCTTCTGTGTTTCTGGTATACCCCATTCTTCCACTGCCTGCATGGCTTTTTCCATCTGAGTTCCATACTCCTCCCCTGTCAGCATAGGCTGCATCCCTGATATGCAATTTCTTCTACCTGACCCCCAAATGATTGTTGCTAGCACATAGCCACAAGGTTTTCCATAACATTGAAAAGCCTTACCCATGGTGTATCTGATATGGCAGAGTTGTGTGCTTCCCCCTTGGGGGTTAATGTCCTGTCCAAGACCATGGCTTGATCCCTATCCCCTGACTCCCTAATCCAGGAATCACTGATCTGGGTGTTTGAGTGGACTAACTGCACCCTCATGTCCTCTGTTAAATAAAGGCTCTTGCCCCCAAAGCAAACTGGGACCTTTTGCCTTTACTCTAACAATGTATAGGAATGGGAGGTGTCTTGGTCCACTTTCATGTCCTCAGTAAATATCTTCTGATCTTGAGTTAGGCCCTTAACCACTTGCAGAATTTGTTCTTCTATCCAGGCATCCACTTAACTCTACTTTTATACTACCTGTACTACTTTTTTGTTCCTTGTACTACTTATTAAAGGTGATGGGGTCTATTTTGCCTACTTGGCTTATGTCTCTATTGTGATCACCTCTTCTGCAGAAAAAGGGTTAAAAGAAATCCTAGAGGAGTCTTAATAGTATCACCCCTGAAAGACTTGCTAAAGGAGAAAAATCCTTCTGTCCCTTTCTCCAGGCAATTGAGGCTTTCCCCCACACTCTTAGTCCTATTCTCTGCATGTATCACTCACCTGGCATCCCAGCATCTCTCTCCCTCTCCCTGCCCCCTCTGTTTCTCTCTCTTTCAAGTCATCATCTTGTCTCTGGTCACTTGCTTGCCCTGCCCTGATTGCTCAGCATTTACTGTGTCTCCTCTCTCCTCCTTTGTTATTCTGTCTCTTTGCCCCTCTTTTCCTGATCTTGTCTTGTCCTGGACCTCTACCCCGCCATCTCTTCTGTTTTAGTTTTGGCCACTATTTCCCTGCTAGCTTTATCTTTCTCTGCCGATCATCCCAGCAACTCTTCCTGAACCGTTCTTCTTTTCCACAGTACTTTCCCCTTCACTTTTCACTCTTGTTCTCCACAGCTCACATATCACTCTTTCCCCCCTTCTCGCTCTCTTCTTCATCTTCTTCCCTTTTTTGTTCTCTCTCTCTCTCTTCTTTGTTCTCTCTCTCCTTCCCCTTCCTCCCTGTTTCCATCAAATCCTGTCCTTTTAAACATCTCTCTGTCCTGCCCTTCCTCTCAAATTTCTGGGTGAACTGCCCACTTGCTGGCCATTCTGGAATGCTCATATTCGGCTGCTGGCTGACCGCTGTTCCCCAGGGTGGCTACACTGGTGACTCCAGTGTGATAGATTGTTGTTTCCATAATACTCCCATAAGCCTCCAGTCAAAGTAACTACACTTACTAGGCCCTACAGAATGGAAATCTATTTCAAGGATATAAGTTTATAAAAAGTTAGTCCTTACATTATAGAAAACTGCCTATTTAAGGCAAAAGCATTCTGAAAGGGATTTTCTCCCAAGCTGCAGATTGTCTGAAAAGACGTATAATATTATAGCAGTTGTTCCCAAAGAGGATTTATACTGAATTTTCATATTCTTACTACATGTTCCCACAGAGACCAGATTGCCCATTATCAGACAGATAATGGTATCTAATTTAATAAAATAGAATAAGAAAGACAATTGTGATTATGCTCTTTGGTTTGCTCTCTCTTTAATAGATAAACATTGCTTTTTTTTTTTCAGTCTGAAATTGGTGGTGTTTGATTCTATTTACCAAATAGCAATATTTTTCAAAAACAACACCTGGTTTTTCTAATATGAAACTTGTAAAAAAGCCACGTTCTGCAGCTAGGTGGTGATGTTTCTTCTTACCAGTTAATAAAATATAATATAATATAGGCTCTTTGGGAATATTGTTTCTTTTTAGTGCTTCCTATTCCTAAACAATAGCAGGCATTTTAAGGATGCAAAGTTCATCTTATTGGAAGAAATTCTTTGCCACAGATTATAGTATCTTCCTGCATATGACAGCTCAAATTTTAGAAGCACTGTCCAGATTTTGGTGTAGGAATGTGATGGAGAAAAATACTTCAACAAGGAAGTTTTCTTCCTGAACCATATTTGAGGTAGAATAAAAGTTAACCTCTTCAACATCTCAAGGTTCTATAATTTGGTTTAGAGCTAATTCTGGAGTAAAGAAGAAATTTCTCTCTCAATACTATTTTTCTAATGAAAATCTTCATGAAACCATCATAAAATTATATATAATACTTAATATTATATCTGTATGTTTTGGTCTGTAGGAAGAAAGCACCTTTAATAAGAGAATTGATGAGAAAGTTCAGAATTAACCATCTTCTTGCAATATTGTTTCCCAAACCAAATCCTTCTATCAAAGCAATCTGTAGAAAGCAAGGTAATTTGCATTCAAGTAAACCTGATATTTGTTACCATAAGACAGCAAAACCACTCAGCAGCCAAATCCTGAAGTCATCATTTTAATATTTTATAATACTTTTGCCTGACACCATATTGGAAAATATTACGAGAAGTTACCGTGGTGGTCAATGGCTAGTGCGCGTTAGTGGACATCTACTGCTGTTCTGCTAGATAAATATTTATGGGTTTTAAAGGGCAGTGTTTTACTTTAGGCATCTAAAATAATAAGATCTCAATGATTTTTGCATGGAACCTAAGACATCAAAATAATTCTAATGTAATGTGATCAGTTTTGGGGAGGTGTGTGTATGTGTGTGTGTGTGAGAGAGAGAGAGAGAGAGAGAGAGAGAGAGAGAGAGAGAGAGAGAGAGAGAGAAACACACATACAATCATCTACATACAGACAGATAGAACGTCTATGTGACTTTGATCATTTCAGTTTTCTTATGTCATCTCATCCTTATTCTATAGGAGGCCCTCCAGATGTATCAAGACTGCAACTTTCAGTATTCCATAATCCAACACAACTAGAGTTTACCAGATCTCTGTCATTTCTCTCTGTAAATATGTAACTGATTATAATAAGGGGAGATAAGAAAGAGTAAGAGCAACAGATGATTGAACCAATCCACCAGTTTTTGCCTGAGATTTGCAGAGTGTGAAGTGGAGGATTAGTAAAGTCAAGTGAGCAGTCTGATAAGGGGATTGAAGCCCTGCCCCTTTAACATATATATTCACATTAAAAAGGGATGGATGTTGATTGCAGGGCCTTGGCTGCCATCTCGACTTTTCTGAATCCCCTGCAGATGTCTCAGCTGAAAGAAGTATATAAGAGTTATACCTTTAAGGATGGAAAAGAAAAAGCATTGTGTTCTCACTGAAACAATTTCTTCAAGGATAAAAAAGGAGAAAATTTGATAGTTGTGCAAGGAAAATATTGAGATGGATAGAATGAATGTTAAATGCTTGTCCCCAAAGAATAATGAAAATAGCATTATTGCATTCATAATATTTCCTGTCTTCAGGTCTCATTATAGTCATTTCCCCAACAAATACATGCACAGTATACCATTTCCTTTTCTCATCACTATCTTTGTCATGGAAAATAAGCTATCAGATCCTAATGACTTAGTTATTTAAGCCATTTCTGTATTCTTTATATTTTGAACAACCTCTCTGTTTCACTTCTTCTCCACAGGTTATTAATGATAAGAGCGGGAATTGCTATCAAATTGCTGAACAACGAAAAGGCCAAAGTATCAAAAATTGCCATTATCTCTGCAACAAAGATTATATGACATGTGCGAAGAAAAAGCCAGAATGAATTCAAGTATGTCTCCTGAAGGCAAATGATATTAACTAATATTATAAAGAGCAGTGGCAGTAAACGGAAAGTATTTCAAGGTGTTCAGTTCCTTCTCTGCAGATGAGGTTTGACCTTCGCGTTCTCTGAGGGCCTCATTTCCCTGAACAATGGGAAGTTTCAGGGGAGCACTCATTTCATTTGGGGTTTTTTGAGAAGGAAAGTTGGCTGGAAACATCCTTTTTGTAATATCTGAATATATTTTATAAATATCCATTGCATATATGATAGAAAGCAACAACTTAACAGTCAACAATGCCAATATTTACTTTCCAGATTACTGATCCTTAGAAATGGGCCCTCTTATTTATCTCAAGTAGTTAAACAGATGCCCCTACCTTCCCTCAATCTGTGCATCTCTGTCCCTTATCCCACTGGTTTCTGTAACCTTCCTCTTTTTGTGCTGCTAAAGAATTTGCTTATTCGGTATTACTTTTTGTGGAGAGAATTATATAAAGATTGCCCAATAAGGACACTTGTAGAGGGGTCCAAAAAGTAAACATGGTAATCACAATTGCATGGTCAAATCCCTGTTACTTTTTAACATACATTATATATTTAAGATCATGAGCATTACTCTTTTGTTGCAACCACCATCCCTCCCCTTCCCAACGGGCGATGTTTTTTTTTTTTTTAAAAAAACTTTTCATCATCTATTTCTTAATCACTGTGAAACACTGACTTATAATTTTGTTAACAGACTTTATGTATTTAGTCTACTGATAAGATGGCCCTGTATTCTACTTTGTTAAAATGGACATCTACTGCAAGCAGTTCTATTTGAAAAATTCCCTAGTCCAAGCCCAAGACTAAAATCAAGACCATAAAAATTGTCCAATTAGCACTTGGACAATAGGCTGTGATAGCCCTCAGACTGAAATGTTCTACATTCCTATTTACCTGGAGTAAGAGTTTCACAATGTTCATCTATTTTTATAAACGACATATTCACCTTTTATGTAAATATGGCTGATCAATGGCAAATGTTCTTTAATCTATTCCCTCCCGCCAATGTTCATTAGTGCACAGTATACAAACTAGGGTTTGATTTTGGTAAACTTTTAATATTTGTGACATCTTCCCCTCTTCAAGGGGAATCCTTTGATTCCCTCAAGGGGAATCAAAGAGAATCCTCAAGGGGAAAACAACTCAAGAAGCTTGGGAAATTTTGAAAAATGAGATAATAAAAGCACAGTCTAGCACAATACCAGCAAAGAGGAAAAACAACAGCTCTCAAAAGAAACCAGCATGGCTGCATAAAGAACTCTCTGACAAATTGAAAGATAAAAAGGACAAGTATAGAAAGTGGAAAGAGGGGAACATAACTAAGTCAGAATATCACCAAATAGCCCGAGCCTGCAAAGATGAAGTGAAGAAAGCCAAGGCTCAAAATGAAGTAAGGCTTGCGACCAAAGTCAAAAATAACAAAAAAAACTTCTTTCAACATGTAAAAAACAAGAAAAAATGGAAATGATTGGTCCATTAGTGGGTGGAATTGGCAAGAAAGTGACAAGCAACAGGGAGAAAGCAGAACTATTTAACAGACCAACCTATCAAAAATAGTGCCATAAAAACCAAAATAGAAACACAAGTTAAGATAGGCAAAAAAGTGGTAAGTGAGCACCTGTCCAGCCTAGAGGAGTTCAAATCGCCAGGACCAGATGGATTACACCCCAAGGTTCTCAAGGAACTGGCAGATATGATATCGGAACCACTGAACTATATTTTTCAAAGATCCTGGAACACAGGGGAACTACCAGAGGATTGGAAAAGAGCTGATGTAGTCCCCATCCTCAAAAAAGGAAAAAAAATGGATCCAGGAAATTACAGACCTATCAGCCTGACCTCAATACCTGGGAAGATCCTGGAAAAGATAATCAAACAATGAATCAATGAATACCTAGAGGCAAACAAAGTCATTACTAAAAGCCAACATGGGTTTGTCAAAAATAGATCATGCCAGACAAATCTTATTGCATTCTTTGACCAAGTGACAAAATTAGTGGATCAGAGGAATGCAGTGGACATAATTTATTTGGACTTCAGTAAGGCATTTGATAAAGTAGATTTATTTATTTATGAGACTTATATACCGCTTTAAGTGAAAGCACTCTCTAAGCGGTGTACACCAGTAAGCAATGTATATATATATTTACATTGCCCCCAACAATCTGGGTCCTCATTTTACCTACCTCGGAAGGATGGAAGGCTGAGTCAACCTTGAGCCGGTGAGATTTGAACCGCAGACCTGCTGAACACAGTCAGCTAAAGTGGCCTGCAGTACTGCACTCTAACTGCTGCGCCACCTCGGCTCACAACCTACTACTTGATAAGATAGAAAAATGTGGGGTAGACAGAATCACCACCAGATGGATCCGTAGCTGGCTGACCAGCCGTACTCAGCGAGTGGTCCTCAATGGAACTGCATCTATATGGAGGGAAATGTGTAGTGGGGTGCCCCAAGGCTCTGTTCTTGGCCCAGTGCTCTTCAACATCTTCATCAACGATTTGGACGAAGTGATAGATGGGGAACTCATCAAATTTTCAGGTGACACCAAGCTGGCAGGAATAGCCAATACTCCAGAAGACAGGCTTAAGATACAGAAGGATCTGGACAGACTTGAACACTGGGCACTAACTAACAAAATGAAATTCAATGGTGAAAAAAGCAAGGTTCTATATTTAGGCAAGAAAAACCAAATGCACAAGTACAGCATAGGTGGCACCATGCTCAATAGTAGTAACTGTGAGAGGGACCTCGGAGTCCTAGTAGACAATCACCTAAATATGAGCCAGCAGTGTGCTGCAGCTGCCAAAAAGGCCAACACAGTGCTAGGCTGCATTAACAGGGATAGAATCAAGATCACGTGAAGTATTAATACCACTCTACAGTGCCTTGGTAAGACCACACTTGGAATACTGCATCAAGTTTTGGTCACCACAATGTAAAAAAGATGTTGAGACTCTAGAAAGGGTACAGAGAAGAGCAACAAAGATGATTAGGGAACTGGAGGCTAAAACATGTAAGGAACGGTTGCTAGAATTGGATATGTCTAGTTTAACGAAGAGAAGGACAAGGGGGGACATGATAGCAGTATTCCAATATCTCAGGGGCTGCCATAAAGAAGAGGGAATCAAGCTATTTTCCAAAGTGCCTGAAGGCAGGACAAGAAGCAACGGGTGAAAACTAACCAAAGAGAGAAGCAACCTAGAACTAAGGAGAAACTTCCTGACAGTTAGAACAATTAATCAGTGGAACAGCCTGCCTCCAGAAGCAGTAAATGCTCCAACACTGGAAGTTTTTAAGAAGAGACTGGACAGTCATTTGTCCGAAATGGTGTAGGGGTTGGACTAGATGACCTCCAAGGTCCCTTCCAACTTTACTACTACTACTACTATTATTATTATTATTTTGTGCCCTTTTAAGTTACCTACTACAGGAAATGGTTAATGCATTATTGATATGATAGCTTTAAGTTAAATTTAGTTGACAACTAGCAAATCTCACTGTTCAATTTTCATGGAGAGATGGAGTTTGCATTTGATCTAGTAACTTAAATACAGTAACTGCTTTGGGATGAAGAATCTAGGATAGAGGGGACCACTGAAAATCCAAGGGCATGTGTCCTTCTTTGGCTTTCCAGGGAAACTTGTTCCCTAATCACTAATTTGCATATGACAGAAATAAAAAAGTAGTCATTATTAACTAGAGAGTTATATTGATTATATTTAATGACAATGAACTTTAGGTTTGGTCCTGGCCACACACTCTCCTTTTACAAAGGCATCCACATAAGATGAATCATTGCCAAGAAGTTGTGCAGCTTTTTGATTGAAGGTTAGCTAATTTTCAAAAAGCAGGTGAGTCACTCAGATACAGTAGTGTGCATACTGCCCATAAAACAGGAAGGATTTAATAATAGAGAAATGTGTGCCAGAGTGATCCCTGTTGACAAGTAGGCAGATTTCATTGTTTAGTTTTTAGAGGCTTTTTCTGTACACATTCTTAGCACATTCTGCTTAAGGAAAGTAAATATAGAAAATAATAGTTATAATGGTTGTTGTTATTATCATCACTGTGCAGTGTTTTGTATGTGAAATGAAGGTGTTTCAGAGTACACATGGTGCACACGTAAGCACCTCTTGACAACTCCTTAAACCCAGTGCATTTTTCCCTGAGACTGCACTGCAGCTGCAAAAAACAATTATATGATCCTATAAAATTCACTGCTGCTTTAGGAAGTTGCTAAACATTATATGAGCACCTATGCATGGTCCAAAGCACCTTGTTTTCTTTGAATCCAAAGCACTTCACAAACTTGATAATTATTCTTAGAGCTCTGCAAAAGTACATTCACATTCTACCTTTTTATAAATTAGCTGTCAACTCTACAAAGGAATTTGGCTGCAGCCATTTTTCCTTTGTTTTCGGTTGCCACAGAATAGGGAGGGAGGATTAGTATTTTTTAGTTTAGTCGAAACAATAAATTGTTCTGTGGGAACCAAGGTCATTTCTGGTTGCATTTTGGCTGGCTAAAGCTTCTGTTAGAAAGCCTGCTCAAGTAGTTAATTGGGAAATGTGATTTATAACAGATTACTGGAATGGGAAGTTCAACTTTGTAACATTGTAATCTTTGGGAGGGGACTTCAGTCTTGGTTTCACTTTTGATCATCCCGATACTATGTAGCCAAATAAATATGTTCTTTAAGGAATTTTTTTGCCTTGGAGTTTTTTTTTATTGGTCTCATCTATCGGAACTGTGACAATAGTGATTTATTATTATGTGCCATCAGGCCAGTGATGGCTCTTAGTGACCATAGAACTAGGCCTTCTGCAAAATCATCTGTCTTTAGTCTGTCTTTTCAGATTTTCCTATAGTGCAACAGGTAGCCCCATAATTAAGCCAATGAAACCTGCTGCTAGTTGTTTTCTTCTATGTCCCTGCCATCTTTCATGGCATTATAGACTTCTTAAGAATCTTTGTATAAGCTATCCGAAGCAGGGTGACTTGATGATTTTGTATTATCTTTTTGTTTGTTTTCTTTGCTACCCATGGTATTTTCACAACTTTGAATACCAAAATTCAATATCAACAAGACTCTTTCTTTCTTTAAAGTCCAACTTTTCCTTCTATAAAATGGTACGAGGAGAATAAGTTCCTACCCAATTCTGACCTTTGTAGGTATAGATATATCACAATATCTGAATATCTTTTCCAAGGCCTTCACCGCTACCTTACCAAGTACTAATCTGATGTGAAATTCTTTACTGCTGGTTTTTCTTGTTGATAGTTGATCCTACAAGACAGAAGTTATCTACTATTTCAATATCTTCATGGTCAATATTAAGACTGATTGCTGTACCTGTTATTATTAGCTTAGTCCCATCTTTCCACCGGGCTCCTTGAATTTTATTTTATTTTATTATTTTATTATTTATTTATTTCTATCAGCACCTATCTCAACAAATGATTCTTGCTGCTTACAGATCATTCTTGGCCTTTTCTAAAACTAGCTTGATTACCTTGCATCTGTAGGTCTGTAATCTGTGTTAGATGATCCTATGC